ATGCAGAGAAGTTGATCCTACGTATCCGCATCATGAATGATGAAGCCCCCAAAGGGTGAATTGAATGATGAGTCTGCTGAAGATGATGTATTCTTGAAGAAGATTGAGAGTAACATGCTGACAGAAATGGCACTTCGAGGTATCCCAGACATCAACAAGGTGTTCATTAAACATAGTAAAGCAAGCAAATTTGATGAGGCTGATGGATATAAGACCAGAGAGGAGTGGGTGCTGGATACAGAAAGGTGTCAATCTCTTGGCTGTAATGTGCCATGAAGATGTTGATGCGAGGAGAACAACAAGCAATCACTTGATTGAAGTGATTGAAGTTCTTGGAATCGAAGCAGTTCGTCGTCCTTGTTGGATGAAATTGCGGGTTGTGATATCATTTGATGGGTCTTATGTGAATTATCGGCATCTAGCTATCCTCTGTGATACAATGACGTATCGTGGCCCAACTTGATGGCCATCACCCCGTCATGGCATCAACCGCAATGATACAGGGCCTATGATGAGGTGCTCATTTGAAGAAACTGTAGATATTCTCCTTGAATGCAGCTGTTTTATTCTGAGTCAGATTATTTAAGGGGGTGTGACAGAGAATATAATGTTGGGTCAGCTTGCACCAATTGGTACAGGAGACTGTGCCTTGTATCTCAATGATGAGATGTTGAAGAACGCCATTGAACTTCAGCTACCTAGTTACATGGAAGGACTGGAATTTGGCATGACACCTGCTCGTTCTCCCAGTGTCAGGAACTCCTTATCATGAAGGCATGATGTCTCCAAGTTACTTGCTGAGCCCAAATCTCGGTCTCTCACCCATTACAGATTCTCAGTTCTCACCTTATGTTGGCGGGATGGCATTCTCTCCTGCGTCATCCCCTGGTTACAGCCCATCATCTCCTGGATATAGTCCTTCATCTCCTGGTTACAGCCCATCATCTCCTGGATATAGTCCTTCATCTCCCGGTTACAGTCCTACCTCTCCTGGTTACAGTCCTACATCTAGTCCTTCATCTCCCGGTTACAGTCCTACCTCTCCTGGTTACAGTCCTACATCTAGAGGTGAGCATAAATCAGTTCAAACCGATTTAATTGATTGAAAATTATGAAATATGGTCATTTCGGTTCGGTTTAATCGGTTTTCGGTTGTAATCGATTTTAAAGATCGATTAAATTAGTGAAATCGGTCGGTTATCGGTTTTTAAAATTGATAACTGAATTAATCGTTTTTATAATAATTAAAGGTAAATATGTAAATTTTCTTAAAAAAAACTTTAAATTTAACTTACTTTTCTTAATTCACCCACCCTCGTCGTTTTCCCTTTCTGTTCTTTGCTCCTCTCAATCTGAATCTATTGCATCTTACCGTGCCTTTGCTCTTTGCAGTTTGCTCTCCTCAGTCTCTTGCATTTTTGCCTCGCTCTTACTCTCTTGCTTGGCTGTTTACCTCTTAATCTCTTGCTTCTTTTAATTTGCTACAAACAGTTGTAGAGATCGATCTGCCTAAGATGTCATTGTAAGTTCTTAAATCTTAATAACTTTTATTTTTTCTTTTAACATGACACTGTGTCTTTGTATAGAGCTGTATTCTTTTTATATGGTCTAAACTAAAGCATAAAAGGTGCCAACCTAAACCCAAGCCCAGGGCGTGCCCACGGTAATGAAATAAAAGCTTCAATTTTTTTTTCTCGTGTATTTCAGTATCTTTGATAGAATGAAATAGAAGCCCATTTTCTTTCTTGGACTTTGGCAGAATGTGTAAGGTGGGAAATGGTTGTGGTTTTGTCTTTCGAGACTACAAGAAAAAGAGTCTTTCTATACTAATTCGTATTAGCTTTCGCTGCTTCCAACTCCTCGGCGGGCTCACTTCGGCCACTCTATTTTAACCAATCTAGCATCATTGTGGAAAAGAAAATTGATCATCCTTCTAATTTTTGGAAACATCATAATTAATACTTCCAAGCTATCGTCAATTAGAGAGACTCTATTGCCCGAAAGTTAAAGATTGGAATCCAATCGAGTTGATTTGATTTTTTAAATATTATATAATATTATGATATTTTAAAATTTAATTTAAATTTATAACATATTTTTATTCAATTCGGAATTAAATTTTATCAATTTAATTTTACTGAATTTATTAATTTTTAAATTTTAATTTTATATATTATTTTAATACAAAATTTTAATATATTTAAATAAATTTTGATATAAAATTATTATTTTTATTTTATAAAAATTTAAAAAATATATATAAAAAATAAATATATATAATTTTATTCTATTCAATTTTTTTTATTTTTTATCTTTTAATTCAAAATTCAATTCAAATCTAATATATATATATATATATATATAATATTTAAATTTGATTTTAATCGAATAAAAAAATTGATTTAAAACTAAACCAAATACTAAAATTTTGAATCAATTTTTTATTTTTTTATTTTAAAAATTGATTTAAATTAAAATCAAATATTATGATTTTAAATTAATTTTTTATTTTTTTTCAATTTTTTCTCACCACTTGTGATTCAATTTTTTTTACTTTTTATCTTACGATTCAAAATTCGATTCAAATCTACTATATATATTTAAAATGTGAATTGAATAAAAAAAAATTGATCCAAACTAAACCAAATACTAAAGCTTTGAATCAATTTTTTATTTTTTAATTTTAAAAATGATCCAAACCAAATCAAATATTATAATTTTGAATCGATTTTTTATTTTTTTCAAAATTTTTCTCACTACTTGTATTCCCCACAATTTGATTTTTTTTAATTTTTTATCTTTTAATTCAAAATTCGATCTGAATTTAATATATATATATATTTAATATTCAAAATTGATTTGAATTGAATAAAAAAAAAACTAATCAAAACTAAATCCAACACTATAATTTCAAATTAATTTTTTATTTTTTTCAATTTTAAAACTGATCCAAACCCAATCAAATACTATAATTTTGAATTAATTTTTTTTTATTTTTTCAATTTTTTCTCAATACCTATTTTCCTCGTAATTTGTTTTTTTTTTACTTTTTTTAGATTTTTTATCTTTCAATTCAAACTTTTATCCGACTCTAATATATATATTTAATATTCAAATTTAATCCGAATCAAATAAAAAAAATTTGTCCAAACTAAATTGAATACTAAAATTTCAAATCAAATTTTTATTTTTTTAATTTTAAAAATAATTTAAATCAAGTCAAATATTACGATTTTGAAATTTTTTTTTCAATTTTTTTCTCACCACCTATATTCCCCACGATTTGATTTTTTTTTTAATTTTTTACCTTTAGATTCAAAATCCGATCTGAATTTAATATATATATATATATATATATTTTTTTTTTTTTAATATTCAAATTTGATTCAAATTGAATAAGAAAAAAATTGATCAAAACTAAATCGAATACTAAAATTTCGAATCAATTTTTTATTTTTTCAATATTAAAATTGATCCAAACCATATCAAATACTATAATTTTGAATTAATTTTTTTTATTTTTTCAATTTTTTCTCACCATCTGTTTTCCTCGTGATTTGTTTTTTTTATTTTTTTAAAATTTTTTATCTTTCGATTTAAAATCCGATCTGAATCTAATATATATATTTAATATTCGAATTTGATCTGAATCAAATGAGAAAAAATTAATCCAAACTAAATTGAATGCCAAAATTTCAAATCAAATTTTTATTTTTCGATTTTAAAAATAATTTAAATCAAATCAAATACTACGATTTTGAATTTTTTTTTCAACTTTTTTTCTCACCACATGTATTCCTGCGATTCAATTTTTTTTAATTTTTTATCTTTCGATTTAAAATTCGATTTGAATTTAATATATATTTATTTAATATTTGAATTTAATTCAAATTGAATAAGAAAAAAATTGATCAAAACTATACCGAATACTAAAATTTCAAATCAATTTTTTATTTTTTCAATTTTAAAACTGATCCAAACTAAATCAAATACTATAAT